TAGGCTCCCCTCTTATGGATTAATGCAGATCTTACAGGAGATTAGCCCCTTGGAGAGTGGGTTGTTATAAAACACAAACTTGGCTCCTCGGTACTCAGTCAGTTCCCCTTCTGCTAATCTTCCATGTTATGATGTCACCAGAGGTACTTTGTCAGAATATTGGCACCATTCTCTATGGACCTTCTAGTCACCAGCATCATGACAAGCCAAAGAAACCTCTTTCTTTGTGAAGTATGTCCCCTCAGGTATTTTGTTGTAGCAACACAAAATAAAGAAAGACCAGTACTCTAGAGAAACATGTTTTGTTACAAGGATTTCTATTTTTATGGACTTCTTGGATAATGAGTGACATTATAACAACATGTGTCAAATCCACTCATGAGGAGGAATGCAATTAGAAGAATCTATACCCTGAAACACATCATTGCTGGCATCCTGTTCCTATCTAAAGCTGCACCCATATTGGAATGTTTCCCATTGTCTATGGGTTCTTCTCATGCTTATTGGTTGGAAAGCAAGTGTGTCCTGATGGAGAGGTTTGAGGATAGCATAGAGGATCAATACTGAAAACTGTGCACAGTTCACTTTTTACTGGTTGATGACAAAATCACCATGCCATTATTCCAGTTTCTGGACCAACTCTGACTCCCACTATGCCTTTCTCCTTCTACCTCCAACTCTGGCCTCATCTTCACACACTCTGGTTAAAAGCCATTGAGCTCCAGCTTTCTCACTCTCACATACAGAACCAAAGAGTTGAGTTAGGAAGTAAAAGTTCATCTAATGTATACTAATAATTATAATTCCTCCACTCTACAATGAAAAATAGACTCTAATTAACTAATGTTGGGATTCAATTAATCGCAAATACACATGAGTGATGAATATGTCAACAAATTTAATTCAACTAGGCTTCATTAGTAGAAGTGCATTGGCAGCTCATTGCATTATAGACGCATCAGAACAAATATTAGAAGGCAATTAATAAGCCAAAGGAAGTTGATCTCAAGGTAAGGGATCCGCCATCATGATAAACATCACAAGAAATGGATGTCTTAGGAAGAAAACATTCACAGAGACTACTTACAAAAAATTAAAGGATTATTGTGTCAAAGAACAAATGCATTCTCTTTTGGAACCAAAGATGTGTCGTGGATATTGGTTTTGTTTAATAAAATGTGCTTTTGAACATTTTGGTTTATATGGAAGTGACTGATTTAAAAGGTTAGGGGTTAGTGAATTCCAATTATGATATCAGCTTATATTGGAACAACTCTCCACAGTAAACAATAATAAACTAGAAAAAAAATTAACAAACTTATTTGAAGGCACTGGAGATCAGTAAAAAGCAGACAGAAACTAGAAAACATCTAACAATTAAAAAAAGAAAAGCAACAAAACCTAATAAACTATATGATTGTTCTGTTTTTCTCCCAGTCCTTGGTCGTAGGACAGTTAAAACTCAAATAAAGTGTTTATAGTTATTGAGCTATGATGTCAGTGAAGAGGTTCCTCATCATCAGAGGGACTCAAGTGGACAAAGATAGAGGGAAGAACTCACTACTTGCCTATAAACAAGATCAAATCCTTGGCTGAATGTCGAACTATACAAGTATGTTAATGAGCTTTCCATTCCTGTAACAAAATACTTGAGATAATCAACTTAAGAAGAGGAAAGGATTCGTTTGGCCTACAGTGTGGGAGGTTTTGGTCCACAGTCAGGTGGCTCATTGTTTTAGGACCTTTGGTGAAGCCAGCACATCATGGTGGGAAAGTATGGCAGAGGAAACAGCTTAACTCATGGCAGTGGAGAAGCAAGAGAGAAAGAGGAGAGGGCCAGGTGCCAATATCCTCATCAAGGGCACAACCCCAGTGATCCAACTTCTTTATCCTAGATCCCACTTCCTAATGTTCTGCCACTTCCCAATATCACCATGGGCTGGGGACAAAGCCTCTAACATCTGGGCTTTGGGGGACACAGATTCAAATCATATCCATCAACATTTGTAGGTCAGATGAATGAAACCAGCAGGAAGCAACAGTTGAGGGGACAGAGCAGAGATTTCCATCCCTGTCTACCACGAAGGAAAGAGACTGGAATCTGAGACTAGAACCAGACAGACTGCCCTACCCGACTGCACACGAAGGATCCAGAAGTGAAGTGTGTTAAGCCTTCAATGTCTGTCAGAGAACAATAAGTGCTCGTGGAGGAAGGAATGTCAGAATCCCTTAATGTACTATCCAGTGTCCTGTGTACTACAAAAATCTAATACATATCCTAAGAACTGGAAATTATGCCTCATTGTCAAAAAAAAAAAAAACTTACAGCAAAAATGAAGCCCACAGAAAGAGAACCCAAAGTGAAACAAATAATGGACTCTGGTAGTAAAAGAAATATTATAAATATGGTCAAGAATTTAAAGAAAATTATGTTCATAATGAATGGATATAGGATCTCACTGAGACACATGGAGGCTGCAAATAGCAGTCAAACAATGCCTGAATCATGAAAGTATAATATCTGTCATAGAGTTACCAGCAAATTGAAATTGGGAACAGTATATCTTCTTTTTTTCTTTTTCTGGTTGTATATGGAGTATATTCACACCATTCATGTCTTCATACCTGTACTTTGGATAATAATATCCATCACATTCCACCATCATTAATAACCCCATGCCCCCTCCCTTCCCATCTAACCCCTCTGCCCTGTCTAGAATTTATCTATTCCTCCCATGCTCCCGATCCCTATCCCACTATGAATCAGCCTCCTTATATCAAAGAAAACATTTGGCATTTGGTTTTTGGGGATTGGCTAACTTCACTTAGCATTATCTTCTCTAACACCATCCATTTACCTGCAAATGCCATGATTTTATTCTCTTTTATTGCGGAGTAATATTCCATTGTGTATATATGCCACATTTTCTTTATCCATTCATCTACTGAAGGGCATCTAGGTTGGTTCCACAATTTAGCTATTGTGAATAGTGCTGCTATAAACATTGATGTGGCTGTGTCCCTGTATTATGCTGTTTTTAAGTGTTTTGGGTATAGACCAAAGAGTGAGATAGCTGGGTCAAATGTTGGTTCCATTCCCAATTTTCCAAGAAATCTCCACACTGCTTTCCCTATTGGCTGCACCAATTTGCAGTCCCACCAGCAATGTATGAGCGTGCCTTTTCCCCCACATCCTCACCAATACTTATTGTTGTTTGTATTCATAATAGCTGCCATTCTGACTGAAGTGAGATGAAATCTTAGAGTAGTTTTGATTTGCATTTCTCTGTTATCGATGATGAACATTTTTTCATATATTTGTTGATTGATTGTACATCATCTTCTGAGAAGTGTCTGTTCAGGTCCTTGACCCATTTATTGATTAGGTTATTTGTATTTTTTGGTGTTTAGCTTTTTGAGTTCTTTATATACCCTAGAGATTAGTTTTCTATCTGATGTGTGAGGTTTAAAAATTTGTTTCCAAGATCTATAAAGGAAATTGGGGCTATTCCAACATGATGGAGATTTGGGCCTTGTTTTTCTTCTAATAGGTGCAGTGTTTCTGGTTTAATTCCTAGGTCTTTGGTCCACTTTGAGTTGAGTTTTGTGCATAGTGAGAGATAGAGATTTAATTTCATTTTGTTGCATATGGACTTCCAGTTTTCCCAGCACTATTTGTTAAAGAGGCTTTCTTTTCTCCAATATATGTTTTTGGTGTCTTTGTCTAATATAAGATAATTGTAATTTTGTGGGTTAGTCTCTGTGTCCTCTATTCTGTACCACAGGTCTACCTGTCAGGAACAGTATACCTTGAAAAAAGACCTATAATTTAAATTTAAAGAGAGAAAAAATGGAAAAAAATGTAAACCAAGTCCTGATAGTCTTTTGGACAATCACGTGATCAACATACATTTAACCGAATTGTCAAAAGAAAGACAGAGAAAGAGACAGACAGGGGAGGGAAGAAAGAGAATAGGAAAGATAAGTAATTTAAAGAAGTAATAGGATTGGTACCTAAAAATGCCACCTTTGTCATCCATAAAAGTGTGCAGGTTGGAAGACAAACAGGTCACACAATTTTAAGACAGGTGTGAGTCATTCTTCTTTCCCACAAAACCTGTGATTTGGAAAGTATGATTTTGAAGGCATACTTTCAATTATTTGTTTATCCACCAAAGCAATGTTTCACAAGACTTCTTTTGGTCTTAAATTTTGGGCATGTTTAATGTGGCCACCATGCATATTTACATTCATAAGCTCAATTTTGTGGCCCCTCTTATGAACTTAGAAACCAAGTAAATATTATTATATTTTTTTCTATGGCTTTCAGGGCCAATTTCTTTGTTCTACACTTCAAAAACCCATTTATGCACTTGAGAAATGTCCCCTGAAATTAGTAATGGCAGTACAATATTAATTGGTAAATGGGTTCCAACACAAGCACTAACAAATAACGTGCATGCAAAGGAAGATGGAAAATTCTAGAACTCTACACCCACATCCCTTCCCCTACACAAACTTCTCCCGCAGTGGAACAGTGCCAAAAACTCTTCAGGGCTTAATCAATTTTACTTCTGTCCAGCTGTGATTCTTCATGAGGTCAGATGACATTTGGGTGCCCCCCCCCCCCATCCACCCCTTTCCAGCATTGAATTGTGGTCTCCTCAGGAACCACCAGGGACCTGAATCTAATTAGTCTGAAAGAAGCCACTGTGCCTAACAACGGTAATTAACAAATGGCATGCTTCTCTCATGTCAGAAAACACAGCAATCCTGCTCCCATTTCTTCTCTTTCCTGGTGCCCGCCACCATTCCTCCCTGATCAGATTGGCTCTTTCAATCCTGTGAAAAGGAAAAGAAAATGCCTGGGCCCCTTGCCCCGGGGCTTCCAGCCAGCCCTGCGCTGCTGCTGCCAAGGCCAACTCTTCCAGCCAGGGGTCTGGGCCGGGAGCAAATGCAAATGCAAAAGACTTGCGAAACTCAGCTTTCTCCTTTTTTCCATTAGCAAAGCTTTCTCCCGGGCCGGGCCTGCCTCTCCAGATCAGAGGCCACCTTCGACTGGCTCCTATCTTTTCTTTCACCTCCTATGAGACCTGTGACAACTTGCTTCCTTCTTCATATCCCATCGCCTAGTACCCCTAGGTGGTGCCCACTGCAGGGCGCCCACCCTCCAGGAAGAGGCACCTCGGGGCGGGTTCGTAGGCCTGGGCCGCGCACCCGAGCGTCTGGGCGACCCTGGCGGCGCGCCTGGCCCCGCGCCCGACCCCCATCCCCCGCGCGCTTTCTCTGTTTTTATTCCAAAAATCCTCCTCTTCCGCCTCCCTTCCCCGCCTCCAGGTTTTTCCCTTTCCTCGAGGAAGCGAATCAGATCGCTCAGGGCGTCGCGGAGCCGAGCGGTCTGCGGAGCGGGCAGTGAGCGGGGACCGGGGCGCAGGAGCGGGGACCGGGGCGCAGGAACGGGGACAGAGCCTTCCCGCGGGGCTTTGCTGGGCTTTGCGGGGCGCGCGGCGCAGAGTCCCGGGCTGCAGCTCGGCGGTTGTTCTACATCCTCAGGTGGGTGAGAAGTTTGGCGCTTGCGGTGCAGACAAGGTAGCGACGTCCAGCCCTGGGGCGGTGGCGCCCGAGCGCCCCCGGGGTCCGCACCCCTGATCTCCGCGCGGGGCAGCCGCCCTGGTGGAGACTCTCTGTTGGGGGGACTCACTCTGTCCGGGGGACACGCGCTCTCGAGAGGCGACGGCACTCTACCTGGCCTCTCTGTCGCGTGCGACAGGTCCCGAGTGCTGGGTCCGCTGGTGGCCTGGCTGCAGTCCCCGGGCTCCCACCGGACTCGGGCCAGCCGCTCGCTAATAGAAGGGTTTAAGGTAACTTCTGTAGGTGGCTAAGGGGAAGCGGGGATGGAGGGGAGGAAGGGGAGTTACCGGTCTTTCACACCGTCAATTCAGGCAAACAGGGGAGATGCTATTGATTTGAAAGTGTACTTGTTCTTAAAAAAAAAAAACAAACAAAAAAAAAAACTGTTCACATTTCAATATTTTCAAATATTTTTTTCGTTTATTTTATGGCTTTGTTGAGCTACTCCTGGGACCTATAATTTAGTCTTGATTTTTAACTTTATATTGCATATTTAAAATCGAGCAATTAAAATAAGCATATTATATATTTAAAATGGAACCATGTAAAACAAATACATGAAAATATTATGCATTAAGTTTTATTTCCCACCTACTTAAAAGAGGATAGACTCAGTATACTAAATTGCATGCTACTGTAGTAGCAATAGATAACATTCAGCTATCTGCTGTTATAGTTCATTGTGAAACACAAGCATCCTTTCCATTCAATTTGAATGAGGCAAGAATGCTTATAATAGTGCTCTTAAGACCTTGTTGGGAATTGCACAGGCTAGTAACATTAGTCACAACACAGCAACATTCTGATTAGAGAAGAACACCCCGGTTGTGTATCTTGAATGTTCATAGGCAGCAACTTCATAGGACAAGTAAGAAGATTTAACATATTTTTCAACTGCATTATACTAAATTTATATGAGGCTTCACATGTAAATTAGAATATTCAATAAAGCAAAATCAACTTGAATTTGGCATGAAAAAAATTTGAAAAATCTGTTCTATAAAATATATAAAATTCTAGGAATTTAAATGAAAATAAGCTACATGTTTATATAAGAATCCAATAAAATATATAATATTTAAGTAGGTAAAATGTCATTTCCATAAAATAATTTACAATGTAAATAGAATCCTAATTGGCATCTTAATTTTTATTAACAAGGCTGATTAGCTTATGAAAGACTACTTGAAAATATGAAGATCTGAGTTATATATATGGTTAACTTGACCGTAAGATTAAAAGGTATTATAAAGTCATAGTTTTTAAAAGAAAGCAAACTGACCCACTACCAAATATTTCTGTGAAATTGAAGAGATAGATTTAAGAGTAAAAGGAAAACTGGCATTTGAAGCATACATTTTAAACAAAAGGAGAAACAAGAAATGACATTTAATTGATTGTGTTTGCACAACTAGGTATTTATCTGGGAAAACTAATAATACAACTGGAACTTTTCCTCACTTAATATACAAATATAGTCTAGATGGTTTACTAATTTCAATCCAAATATATAAAACCTAAAAAGAAAAAGAAAATCTGAATGTGCACATGGCATATTACAATACATAATACAAAACCTAGAGACATTTAGGGATAGAATTTTTATTAGCACATGCATATCAAAACCGGATACACACAGGAGGACATTAGACATTAGAGTCTTATAGTACTGAGGATCAAACACAGGCCCTCCCCATGTGCTAGGCATGGGCTCTGTGGCTGAGGTGCATCCCCAGCCCTTTTAAAATGTGTTTTTCTTCTTCTCTTTGAGAAAGGGTCTTCCTAAGATGCCCTGGTAGTCCTCTACCTTGAGATCCTCCTGCCTCATCCTCCCAACTTGCTTCAGTCTAGATGTGTGCTACCATGCCTGCTCAGGCCAGAAGTATATTTACAACAAAGTATATTTTGCTAATATTACCTAGAACTCTTATGAATGATCTTGAAAATCAACAACCCAATTGAAGATTAAGAGTCCATTCAAAATAAGATTTAAAAAAAAATACAGGTAAGCAAATGATGAAGGCTCCCAGTCATACTAATTATATTAAAAAATTCAATTAAATTAAGATATCAACTTTTGCCTGACTTACTGATTTTGGAAGTCTGATAATACTTACAGTTGTTGATAATGACTTGAGAGGAATATACTTTTACAAACTTATAAGGATAATGTGAATTGGTAAAAAAAAAAAAAACTTTAAAGATGATAACTATTAAAACTTTCAACTGTTCCTTCACTTATTGGAATTTATTCAGTAAAATATTCTCCCAAAAGTCCAAATAAAAATTTATGTCAAGCCATAAGCCAGGCATGGTGGTGCGCATCTGGAATCCCAGCAGCTCCAGAGGTTGAGGCAGAAGGATCACAGTTTCAAAGCCAGCCTCAGGAATTTAGTGAGGTTCCAAGCAACTTAGTGAGAACCTGTCTCTAAATAAAATATTTTAAAAGGGCAGAGTTTAGCTCAGTGTTTAAGCACCCTGGGTTAAATCTCCAGTATCAAAACGAACAAGAAACTAAATATACTAAATATACTAAATGTGAAAACAATTCTGAAACCATTGATTAGGATTTGGTTGTATAATTATGGTTCATCCAGTGGTGAAATCATAGATAATCTAAAAAAACCAAAATATTTGGTAGGTCTATATGATTTCACATGTAAATATGTCCAAATATATTATCAGAAGCACAACCAAAATAAGGCAGAGCATAGTATATGTACTCTGTGTATTCATGCATATACAAACTGTGCTGTACATACACACGCATGCACACACTGGCACACACACAGAGCAGCATGTTTTGTAAGTAATAATTTGCAATATTGAAAAAGTTAGGCTGATATGGATATTCATGTTCTATCATATATAATGAAAAGTTATGTTATTAGAATAGGAAGATCATAAGATGCTCTTGTGATTAGTAGTTTATACAGAATATATCCCTCCTGAATATATTAATTATCATTCACAAAGCTTTCCATATTCTCTTCATTTGCTTTCTCTTTGAAGATAATTCTTTTAGGTACTGTTGGAAATCCTTTTCTTTTTCTCCTTCCCTAACAAGGATGCTTACATTTATTGTAGGCACAGATGTGAAATATTCTTTCTGAAGGATTTCACAACCCATTAACTTTGTTAAAACGAAAAACTATAGGACTGTTCTTCTAACACCTCTTATGCCTTTCATGAGCATTGTACTGAAATTTATATTCCTAGTTCCCATCCTTTACGATAAGAGAGATAGATATGCTATTCTTTGAGATGGAAAGCATCTAAAATGGACTACAAAAAATTTAAACAATTCCATGCAAAAAGTACGGTTGTTAAACATGACAAATTTTGAAACAAAATTTTAAGCATAAAATTTTAATATCATTCTTATGAAAATCAGAAACAAAACTAATAATTAAATAAACTAGTGACAGGCAGTACACAGAAACGGAGTAGTAAATGACTTTCAAACTTAATAAAAGCTGTTCAGCCTCCATTATCATATATAAAGAAATGAAACTTTTTATTTTTTTAACCTAGCTGAGTAGAAATGGCAAAGATTCTGATAAAAACACTACATTGGATGTGTAGTTTTTTGGTCTGTGTGTGATAATTCAAATCTTTGGAATATAATCTGCTTTTATCCAAAATGCACAAAACTTCAATCTTCCCATTATGCTTCCAGGAATTTAATGCACAAATTTTACAATTATATATTGTTTGTTTCAGTATTGTTTGTAATAGCATAAATTTGGAGACAATTTAAAATTTCATTATTAAGCATCCAGTCGAATACCTTATGGTACATTTATTAAAAATAATAATGTCAGGTGAGCTGAAACAGTCAATAAGACATTTTAATAAATGAAAAAGACAAGATGCATAAAAGTATATGGAATACTGCCATGTGTATTTAAAGTTATATACATTTGTTTGTATATGCTTAGAAAATCTCTAGGAAGACACAGAGTCTAATATACAGATGTTTAATAGAGATTAAGTAGGAGGAAGTCTTTGTGTCATAACAATTTATGCATAGCTTGACTCTTTGAATAATTTTTTGCATATAACATCTATTTAAAAATGTCTTTTTTATATAAAAATTGATTTATACCAAGATGATCTAATTTTAAGCCACATGACATCCTCCTGTTTGAGTAGCCAAAAAAAGACACATTAAGTGTTATCTGGCAATTTTCCATATAGTGTTGATGGTGTGGTAATGTTTTCTTAAATATATTATAGAAACATCATGAAAATATTGTTCTTCTGATAACTTTTTAATATTACATAAAACAAATTTCTTTCTTGGAAGCTAAAATGGAAAAACCTAATAATCTCTTTAAACAATTGGAACTAATTTAATATATTTAATAAAAGTTGTAAGTTTGCTTCCATGCAATCTCATGTTTTATTTTAAAATAAAGCTACCATAACCAACCTCCAAGATCATCAACATTGGCTACAAAGAAGGAGTTATTCTACCATATGCTTTTTCTTTGGAAGGATTCATGGTGTGAATAAAATGAGAACTATATTTAAGTTGTAAAACAATTCTATAAAACTGATTAGATGTTATCAACATTTTTCATCTGTTCATAGTGAAAATTAATTATTTATAAATTTCTTATAGAATTGATTTTATGCAAAAATGCAAGTAAATGAATATATGTAACATGTACAGTTGTAACAAGATTATTTTTATGTGACATTTTTAATGGATATTTTTATCCCAGTAGACTTGTGTTTATCTTGTCAGTTTAACTTTTATAAATGCTTTTTGAGTTTTGATAGCTCATCTAATTCTAGCCTGTGTTTTAGCAACTTTTTAAGGTGCCAGGGTGAGGAACAGGCGTGACTCAGTCGCTCTGTCATTAGACCTTAATCCACTCATATGGAGCCCACTCAATTATTGAGTTCTCTGGTAA